CGATGTATTTTAAAATATAGACCTTGAAAGTGTCTAAAGTGTATTCTTAGAAATTGTGCCTTCTCTGTATTTACTTATATTTATTGTTTAGTTTAGACAACAGTTGGTTAAGCAGGAGGCAAACAGTGCACAAAAACTTGTTTTCTTTGAGTGTTGACTGTGTTTTAATTTTGTACAAGCCTTTTAAATATAAACCTGTTAACATGAACACAACTGTCGCTGGAATTATTCAAACATAAACCTAGCTACATTGACTATAGTAAAAAATAACCAATAATTTATTTATTTATTATTAATTCCAATCAAGAAATGAAAAAAGGCAAAGCGGAGACTGTGTGCGTCTCTTCATGTATGTGTTGGTAGGTAGGCATAGCACCAGGGTGTAGTTTAGCCTTGTACGGTTGGTCTTAAGTGTCAGATGATGAATAATTTGACACAGTAGCCATTATAGGTGTAAAAACTGTCTACGGGAGAACTAGGTTTTATTGTAGGCAGAATATTATGTAATGTAGGCTGGCACTACCTTTCTGCACAACAAATTAAATAGACTATTTTTGTGTTATTCAGATGTTGCATGAAAATGCTCGGTGGCTTTGTGCAGGAAAAACAGGTTCGCTTGCAGTAATGTGGTGAGCTCACAGTAAAGGCTTCCCCCATCTTTTGAATCTCACTTTAACGCCTGACTGTTCTCATTTTTCTGTTTAGGTGTGGAGGCAAAGTCATCCTCAACCATGTAGGCAACAGAAAAATGAGATAATTTAAAATTCTCTCTTACTGCTTGTGTCCTATATAATAGATTCAAGCAAAGAACATTCATTAGAATTAGAATTGAGATTCAAATAACATCAGTATTCTCATGTACTACTATTATATTAGTATATAATGAATATAGCAGAACGTCCAGTTACCTTTCCATAAAAAATATGGTAGAAATGTATTTTAAGGAGCTACGTTTTACTTTCTTACTTTGAGTGCATTTCATAGACATTACTTTTTCACTTTTATTGTAGTAAAGAACTTGAATCAGTACCTCAAGTTTTACTGAAATTTTTAACAGAAGTATCTGTATTTCTACTTAAGTCTGTAAGTTACCATGGTGATTTAGCCGGTTAAAACTTCGCGACAC